ATCATGATATTCCAAAAAAATATTTCTTAATTGCCACCAATTAATTCATATTAAGATTGAAGTAAAAAAACCCTCAGAACACAGAACGCTGATATTAATTTTTGTAATAGAAATAACAACGAATTGATTTGCGAGATTAAAATATTTCCTTCCATTTTTATTGCGTTACTGCCTAAGTTTTGAACAAATCTCTGTATATAAATTTGTAGCCTCTGTCTATCTGTTTGTTTGTTATCGAACCCAATAGACTCCAATAACCACATATATTCTGAAACTACATTACCCACGGTAGTTGGATAAGTATATTTCATTTTAATCAAAGGGGGTTCCCGAAGAGCAGACCCCCCCCCACTGAAATTTTTTTAAAAGAAGAGGTTCAAGAAAACAAAAGATAGCGATTAGCATTATATTTAGATTTTTGAATATTGTAGGCGGCAGGGAAGCAAGGAATCAGAAGCGAGTTCCACAGGTAAGAACTGAGAGAAAAGCAAATATTAGACTAGAACTTACAATTTCCCTAATACTGCACGGAAGGTGGCGAAAATTTTGTAACAAGTCTATTGTAGTCTGTGTTGAAGACTGTTTTCTCAGACGAAGTTCACCCAATTCTCTTCGCAGTGGATGGGTTTTTGTGTAGCAGAATATATCAGCACCTTTCCACAAGTAGAATTTTTGTAAACACCTTGGATGATAAAAAAAATTAAAAAAGGGATTCTGCGTATGAGATTTCTGGCAGTGTTCTTATACCTGATGGGCCAATCTTGCTTCTTTGATTTGAACAGCGTCCATGCAGCCACACCACTAACTGGCTTGATCACCAACTAAATTTCCTAATTTGCTAGAGTAGATATTGCAGGTTTTCAGGATGACACGTGGTCGCTGTATCGCTTGTGTTGACCACCGGCAGCCATTTTGCTTGACTCAAATTCACCGAAGAACGCACGTGACAGGAATTGGTTCTCAGCTATGCGGATGATGTATTCTAACCAAGCTTATTTGCCAATCGACAAACACAGCTCCGATGGTCGATGATTCTAAATTTCAACATGCAGTACCTTATCCCATCAATATAACCTGAGTATTCTTTGTAGACAGAACCAGCGAAATCGTTCCAGATTTCGACGGTATAGAGCCTAAGGTTTGCAGTCATATAACAACATAGCAACGCATACTGCCCTGTAGTCGTTGAACTTTGTCGTACTCGTGAAATTCCTGTTTAGCAAAACACGTTATAAACCCACCCAAAGTCGAGTCGGGCACGGCGCAGAATCCTCTCCGTCAGATTGTAGCTTTTAGTAAGCAGGGAGCCGAGATATGCGAACATGCCGACATTCTCGACATTCCCAAAGTGAAAAATCGTGTGAGCACGGATTTGTAGTCTACTGCAAAATCTCGGTATTAATCATGAGTCCAGCATGACTGTAGGCATCACTCATGGCGTCCAGCTGTTGTTGAATTCCAGGGGGTAAATATGGGTCTTAAACAACGCCCAGAGGTTGAGTAAACCGCTGTCATTGCGATATCGCAAAGATACAATCTTCGAAGCGGATCGAGTGTCTTAAGAATTACAGATGTCATGAAAACATTGAATATCAGAGGGGTCAATATGCAGCACTGCTTGACTCCAAGCCTTACAAGGAAGAATCTTATACAACGACCCAGAACTTATTTTATATAAATACAATGATCTTAGAATTTATTTTATAAAAAATGCAATGGCACTGTCATTAATAGACATAAAAAGAAACCATAACGTGCCTTTTCACATTGTGAAAGTCTTACACGTCCTTGGTACTAGTGGCATGTTTGAAAGAATACCTATTCTTTAACTAGTGTCACCGATTCAATAATTTGATTACGTAACCGAATTTTACAAATGAGTGACATTGAATTTATTCTTTAGATGTATATTAAAATATGACAAATAGTTTCATATTTTAATAGTTCAGTTACTGGGAAAACGAAAATTTAAAAAGAAATCAGTTACCATGACGCGTGTGAATATAACTTCAGTAACATGAAAAAAATCAGTAATACATTTCTTTTATTTTTATTGGATATAAATATTGAATGTGTCTGTCACAATCCAGTATTAAATCCAGATTCTTGATAACAAGATTTTAAAATTCTAATTTTAAATACATTGCCCAATCGTTTATTTGGTCATTTTTCTTTCGATATCTTTATATAAAAAACTGAAATTTTATTCCTTTTATTTACATTTTATATTAAAAATAACATCGTCAATGATTAGTAATTGGCATTTTTTAAATCTTAATTTAAGTTGCTTTTCATCGCAACTTCTCATGCTGTCATTCTACGATCGACCGTAAACAGCGCGGATCGGAAATAAATGACTGATCTCTCAGCACTTGCATGTCTTGGAAGCGTCTTTCTGTACAACAGTTACTCTGCCGTTTAAGCTACAGGAACCAACGGCTACAGAAGATCAAATCTAACTATATAAACACTTTCCTTATACCCCATACCCAGCCACGATCATTTGGCGCCGCCATATTTGATGAAATCGGTTTGTTTTGACATACACTAGTGGCAGTATTACTACTAATTGACCAATATTCATTTTTGATCTGTATTTCTCTCATTTTAGTTTCATTTGATTTAATTGCCATAATATAGACAATTCATTCCAAGGTCCTAAGTAAAATTGTTTTTTTTTTCTATATTTACTTTCATAAGAAATGTTCATGTTACATTTTCGCCGAAGATAAAACCCCACACATATCTCTGCATAAAAAAATGTGGATTGTCTGAAAGTAAACCGGTGAGACTGAGTCCCTAAGGAAAATAATTTTCATTAAATTTTGACACTCGTTATTTCTTATGTTTACTTACCCCGTAAAAACAAATCACAGCGATATATGCGGAGGGTGGGTGTGGGATGCGTTAAGCCCGTTCAGCTGTCTACAACCGCTTTCTCTGATTAATGGTTAAAAAGTCTTTGATGGCATGAAGCCTATAGCTCTTACCGAGTACCAGACTTCTTGAGACCTTGTGGACTAGCGCTATGGAATCACAAACAAGGAAGTGTACCAGATAAAAAAAAAAACATGATTTGAGGACTTTCAACAGCAGCAACAACTAAAACAGATATCACGAAGAGAAAATGATGGCATAATCAAGATGTTGACATTCCACGCTACTTCAAAAACAAAAGTTTAGAAAGGAAACCGCCATCAATACTGGAAAGATCGATAACAGCTACTGGACTTGCGAAACCTCTTTTCCTGAAAAATTGTTTTAAGAGAAATATTTTATAAATTTCAACCAACAGTATATACTGACTGTTCGGTCAATGAATGCCCAATGTTTTCTTAAAAGGAAACGGCTAATATTACCATTAGAATTACTATAGTAGACAACAGAAAAGATGATACCGAAATCGGTAGGTAAATAGGAATAGCGAAAGATGCCTTCCAGAGACTAAGCAAAGTATGATGAAACAGGATAATTTTCTTAGAAACAAAGAAAAGAGAGTTAAATTATTATGTAACATCAATCCTTCTCAATGGCAATGAAATATGAGCAATTTCTTCAAAGATGAAGAGAAAACTTGGTGCAACAAAGATGTAATTCTACAGAAGGATTCTGGTAATAACATGGACGAAAAAATAGTGCAATCGGTAGACTAAATGTAAAACCCAATTTAATCTAACGTGCTCACGTTCACAGTAATGCCAGTGAGAAAGGCATGGATCTATTCCTTCCCCTCCTAGCTATGTATTAAATAGCAGAGTAGACTGGGCTCTCTAGTATTGGGTGACAACTAGTCTAAAAGGACTACTTTGAATTTAAAACGTAGACAAAGCATTGGGAAACCATTCCACAATAAGAAGTCCTGGCAATTCATTGATAATAAAGAAAAGGAATCTCTGGATAGCTATGACCGCCTACTCTTAAAGATACATGAGATTTTATAGAAATCCATCAAAAAAGATGAAATTCAATGGATATTGATTTTGCTCTAATATTACTACAACTGCATTAATCTTGTTTACTTTTCCTTCGTATCTTCTTCTATTTTCTAATATCTTTTCTGTCAATCCCACGCAAATTATAAATATTTGCAGCATCTAATACAGTTTGGTTTGGTATGGTTTGTTTCGTTTTACGGCATATCAACCTCAATGGCAACAAGATTTTTTATTGCTTGTAATATTTTTTTCCAAAAATGTATTGCTGGTAATATTTTTTCTCTTAAAAAATATATATTCCTGGTAATAATTGTTTTTCATTAAAAATCTATTGCAGGTAATATATTTTCAAAAAATGTATAACTGGTAATATTTTTTTTGTTCAAAAATGTATTGCTGGTAATAATCTATTACTGGTAATAATTTTTACAAAAAAGTATTTCTGGTATTAAAACCTATTTTTACATTTTCATAGTGTTTTAACCCAAGTTTGGGGGTTAACTGTTTACCCATAGCTGGGACCCTAGCAGGTGCTACCACCCCAGAACAGGGTGAACCTGGGAACACCAGCAATTAAGAGGTGGTTCCACGCTCCTCAAAACCTCCTGATCAGAGGCTTTGGTGTCGGATGTAGTTTATCGTCTTACCCAGGACGCACTAACACGGTGCAATGGTAAATTCTTATAGACTATTTAGATCCTCAAGAAACGCTTAGTAAGTAACTACACAGACGCCTCACCGGTGTGCAATGGTTAACGAGTTTTTCTAGTAGATCCTTACTAATGTGGAATGAGTTTGATCCTATTTAGATTTGCTACGCATTTGAGCTTGAGTAAAATAACGACATCTATATTAAACAACAATATTGACGCACCAACGTGATGTAATGGTTAACAAGCATTCACAGTGTAACATTATATTGGAACCACCACATATGTGTTTTTTTTTTTTGTAGCAGAATTAGCTTTGCAGATTCTGATCAACTTATTTTTTTTTATCTTAAACTTTTCATTTTCTCGCCCCCAATATCCTTAATCCTTTCTCTTTTCTTCTCTCGCTTATTAGTCTTATCCCTTTCCTTCTCTATCTGGTTCTCCCTCTCATTATTCCTATCCTCTTCCTTCTTTATTTCTCTCCCCATTATTCTTACCCTTTTTTCTTCTTCTCTCGCTTATTAGTCTCATCCCTTTCCTTCTCTATCTGTTTCTCTCCCTCATTATTCCTATTCTTTTCCTTTATTTTTCTCTCTCTCTCTCATTATCCTTTTTTCTCTGTTTCTCTCCCTCATTATCCTTTTCTTCCACTGTTTTCTTACTCCTATTATTCTTATCTTTTTCTCTCTCTCATTATTATTATCTTTTTCATTCTCTATATATTTCTCTTCTACTCACCTAGACCCTTTTTTTAAATTATTCTCTCTGCACACGATCGGACATCATGTCGCCTATTATCCTCGTCGACATTTATTCAATAGACTACACAACCCGTTTTCTATTGAAGTTCATTGGGAATTTGATTCTCCAAAAACAATTGCATTGGCTGAATGAATGTTTTAAATTCGCCGGCCTTTTCAATTTTGGATTGAATAGAAAAAAAAAAGAACATTTCGTTGTTGTAAATTAAATTTGTATTCGTTTGTGATAAAAAAGAGAACGGTTTATGGAGCCATTTGGTTCCATTTAGAAGCAAGCCAGACAATTTCATCAGGATTTAAAAAATGTGTTTGCTTTATTTTCTAGACCTTCAGTGAAGATCAGAATCCTTGAATTGGACAACCGAACAATTAATTACTAATTTAATTAAGGCTAACTTGAATGGCTTCATCCACACAGACCATATATCTATCTATCTATCTATCTATCTATCTATCTATATCTATCTATCTATCTATCTATATGGACTAAGAAATTCAATAAGATAGCAGTATTTCCGAAGAGATTTGTATACATGTTCAAGTTAGAAAAACAGGAAAAAGTTATCCAATAAAACCGCTTTCAGCCTCGACGACGGTCTCAATTCGACCTGGGAAGCGACGACATGCCGAGATTAAGTGTTTTCTATTCCCACTGCTCATCGCCTAATTCATTGACCTTGGGTATTGTGGTATCTGATTGATCCCCTTTTCGACGACACACACGAGGGGATTCAAAACAGGAGAGGTAGGAGATCCCATTGGTGTTGGGTGACATGATAGCCTAAAATTCTTGATCAATCACTCCTGGGTTATGCGGGCTATTTTCAGTAGAGTCCTGTCGAAACACGTACTGCCTTTTTGGGATCGGTCCCTTTTGTTTCTTAGCTTGTCACCGTTTTCAGTATCTTGATGTAGACGGCGGCATTGACACACGTCGAATTGCTAGAGTGGGGGTTGACGATGTCCTGGACGTACTGGATCAACTCGGTTGGCCTTAACACAACTTGACCGCTTAGAATACTTTTTCTTGCTTACTATTAGCATTTTTTTCTCTTTTTATTTTTTGCTTTCCGTCAGCTCTTTTTATTCCTTTCTTTTTTTTTTCTACTTTTTCCTTGCTTACTGCCGTCTCATTTCTTTTTTCTTTTTTCTGTTTCTTCTCTTTTTTTTTCTTGCTTACCGTCAGCCCCATCTTGAGCATGCGCAGAAAGGACACAGTCACTTCCTTCAGCCTTCTTACTTTGAGTCATTTTAGTTGACGGCTCATGCCATGAATATGGCGTGACTTTTCATTTCCTGCCTCAGATTGGAAACTGTCATTTTAATGCTCTCAGTACGTCTGGTTACAAGAGTGGCGCACCTAATATCTTTTGAAATCATTAGTAATGACCTGCGAAACTAGTTTGCTAATAATTGTTCTATTGGTTACTTATCAAGTCTGTCAGAAAACCACAGCTTGAATTCACTCAACTAATTTTGGCACGATAACTGGGCGACCGGTTAAAATCGAACTTTTTAAAATAGCGATGTTAACTTTCCGGTCATGCGTGGTTGGTAATACTCTCCCTTGTCAAAAATGAATTTCAAGTCAGCCCTCCTTCACTGCAATAAGAATGGTAAGGCTAAAGGTATGTTCTGATGGTCGCAGAAAAGCTACTCGGGTAAGTTCTGGAAGACTTATCTTAAAAATGTGAACATTTGATTTGTATACAGACTTCCAAAGATTTTCCTGTCGTACCCAAAAGTATAATATCCAATTACAGGAAAACCATCCCCCATGTTTCACCTCCCCATGAAAATAAGTGTCGGTAAGTTCAGGACATTCTCTGATACCTGTGGCATACAAAACCCCAAGTAAACTACACATTTTTTGTTATTCCCTTAACATGTACATCTGGGGCTCTAGCATAAAAAAGTCAAGTTCTATATTTCGCCTAAGTAGAAAAGCATATAAAGGGTGTTGCAATAACTTAGATCGATTTTGAATTCAGTTTAAGCGCTTAATGATTTTTTTTCTTTTTCTTTCAGATTTGGCGGACATTTGAGTCATGTTATTTTTTACACAAAATTGCCATGACTTAAGTAACACAATCCAATAGAGAAATAAATAAATTTTCATTAATAACACTGCTTTATTTACTGCTGACTTTGATCCGTCTTAATGAAACACACTTATATATAATCCGTCTTAATGAAACACCCTTTAAATAGACTAACCTGACGTTCCGGTTTGGAAAGTTTGTCTCGGTGATATAAGCTAACAGTATGTGTGTATGTATGTATATGCGTGCGTGTGTGTGTGTATGTCTGCGTGTGTGTGAGCCCTGAAGTTTGAATTATGTGTCAAGAAAACACATTATTATATAAGAAAACTAAACTAATAATAAAAATTGAAAACTATTCTAGTTTGAGGATTAGAAATTAAGCTAAGTCTGTCTATAAATCTCTGCTATGCTTCTGATATATTATTGTCGGCAGGTATAACCATTGTCAAGCGACAAATAAATTCTAATTTACGACAGTAACTTTGTAATCATTACTGCACAATAGGGCGTCCGGTTTCTGAATAAGTATATGGAAATACGCAGACATTTTAGCATTTATATAAGTATCATGTTCATCATATTAAATAAAAGCAACAAAAAACAAGCATTAAAATGAAAAAAAGGGAAAAATTAATAAGAACAATCTTTCTAACAATAAAAATGATAAATAAAGTAACATTGCAGTTAAATAAGAGTTGATTTCAATTGGATTAAAGAAACTTTAACATCATTCTTTTATTAAATTATCATAAGCGATCATGACTCTCCACTAATTCTTTCTTTAATTTCCGTGAAATTAATGACGTCTAGGGAAAGATAGTGAAAGGTTTCTCGTTGCTTTCTCCATGGTTTTGAATTCAGAGTAATCCTTCACCTAGACTGGTTGACACAGAATGCTTGATAGTCCATTCTTTTCTGTTATTTAACCCATAGCTTGAGTCACAAGAGCTGGCTCCTGCCTTTTTCAACAGAGTAGACTGTAATTTGAACAAGTCTCACTGATTCCACTTGTCGCTACGCTGTCAGCGTATCCTTCGATTCATTTAAGATATTTTAGTCTCCAAATTGGAGCGCAAAGTTTTTAAATAACATTTATCATTCTGCTTGTTGTCTTATGCGTTATGCTCGATATAATTGTAGTCCCTCACTGTGTTAATCAGGTTTATATATTTACCACTCTGTGTCTTTTCTATAAATACTTTCATGGTAATTGTTTGGATCAGCTCTTCGCTATAGTACGTAGAACTTTTGAATTTAAGCGCAGTACTAGAATGGCGTAGAGATTTCATCAATTTACAATTGAGATGGCTAGATGTAACCGTAAATACTATGCTAACAGTTTCTTTTCTCGCACTTCTCACTTCTGGAACTCCCTTCTGGCTCCATGTTTTCCAGCCAACTTTAATCTGCAAAAATTTAAATGCAATGTCAATCACTATCTATTATCTTTCTGATTACTATTTCTTCTTCCCGCTCATTATTAATGTTTCTGTTCCTAATTCTTCCATTGTAACGCCTTGTATCTTAGTGGCTTTACTGCCTTGCAAAGGATGATACTGATTAAAAAAATATTAAGATAACTAATTATATTTATTTTCATTCAACTAAATGGAATAGACATACTACATGCAATATTCTTTTATCCGGAGCCGCTACTTAGCGTAATGGTTACCAACACGGAACGATTTACCATTTGTACCATTTGCTTTAATTTATTTGGGAAAGGCATGAATCCACATTACATTTCTCTGTTCCATTGACAGTTATCTTGAAGAAAATGTCCTCGTCGCTAGTATACCACGTTTGGTTGACGAAGAAGAGCGTGAGAAGATACACTTGAACAATGCACTTTGATAGATCTCCCACTTTCCTTTATTATTTTTAATTTCTCTTCAGGGTGTGGTTGGTTATGGCTCTCTACAACATCCCATCCCTTGTAGCTATACAACGTTTAACACTTTACCGTCCCTCTTTGTCGCCGTTATGTCATTCATTTGCACAAATTAGGTAGGTTACACTCTATTTCGTTCGGTTTATCCGGCCTGGAATATGTCATGTGAGTATTCAGTTTTCCAAACCCTCTTTTCTCCTTATGTTTCCCATTTTCTTAAAAACCTTCTCGTTGCTGATGTGTTCAGACCATAGTATTCTAAACATCTTTCTATATTACCACATCTCTGTTGCCTCAACTATTCTATTCATAAGTGCGGGACATTCACTGCTAAATAGCAGTTCAGCATTCTTTCCTTTGTTTTTAACGATATCTTCTTACCTCTTAATATTTGCTTTGATTCCGGAAGGCATCTTTCACTACTCCCATGCACGTTTGGATTTCTGCGTAATATTTTCCGTTACTGCATTACCCAAACAATGAAATTTTTGCCGTCCAGGTTGTAATAATTGTAAAAGAATATTACACTCGTTGTCAACCTTGACATGGACCAATATATGCATACATATAGTTTTATTAAATGTGAATAAAAATAGAAATGTATTTTTTTTAATTGGAGAGAGAAATGATAAATTTTTTTCTAAAATCAATGAACAGTGAAAAGAAAACACGGGCAAAAAAGAAGTTTTAAACGATATGAAAAAAAAGCACACTTGAAAATATACCAAAAATAAGTTTTTGATCGTCGGGCTGTTGTTTTAGATATTTTGAAGACGTTTGACAGGGTTTGGCATACTGGCCTTCTTCAGAAGTTGAATGGTGTTTCTGACCATTTCTTTGATTTGATTAAATCTTTCCGTATAATGAATATTGAATGGACACCCCTCCATTAATGCAGACGCCCCCAGGACTCTATCCTTGGACCGAATTTGTTCTTTATTTTAATCAATGACCTTCCTGATGTCATCAGTTCACCACTCGGTATTTATGCGGGTGACAGAAATATTTACTCTTGTTTTACTAATATGTTTGATTGGTTCGATAAAATCAAATTGGCAGTTGATATCGAAAATGACTTACAGTCTATTGTGCGCTGAGACAAGAAGTGATTTATTAATTTTTACGCCTCAGAAATCGCTCTCTATTAATTATGTTAAGGAACCTTTTTTGCTTACCATCACTATGGCTGATGCTAATCTCCAGGAGAGAAACACACTGCGCCTTCTTGGTCGCACGTTTTCCACTGACATGAAGAAGAATGATTATACTGAATCAATTGCTAAGTCTGCTGCAAGGAATATCGATTAATTATTTTGTGCGAGACAATTTCTCTTGCACATTCATAAGTCTAATATTTGTCCTTGTATCGGACAACAGATTCTTGACAAAATCCAAAAAAGTATCGTTGACATTATCGGTCTTGACCTGGCATCTCTGTTTCAGTAACGTTTCCATAGCATAGCATCCCTTTACCTCTTCTCTAAATACTTTTACGGTAATGGGTCTGATGAGTTTGCTTAGTTGGTATCTCGACTTGAAGAATTTAAGCGCAGTACTAGATTGAGAGTTAGGTCTCATAATTTCACTGCTGGTTGTATCCATAAGTTCTATGCTAGTTGTTTCTTCTCGCTCACTTTTCACTTGTGGAACTCGCTTCCGGCTCCTGCTTTCCTGCCAACTATAATCTTCAAAAATCTAAATGCAAGTGATCTTCTGTCTCCTTGAATCTTGTTTTGTTATTGTGCTCTCTGTTTCTTTCACTCTCAGTAAACCTGTTGAGGAGTCCTCCCCTTTTTTACACAAATGGACTCACCCAGTATATACATATACTACGGCTACGTGAAGACCCGAGAGTCGAGTCCAGAGTGACAGAGTAAAAGGTTGTAGGTAACCGGAATAGTGAGGGTGAGGTAACAGCGTTGTAGGAGTCACAGTCATCGAGCACGTAGGCTCAGTAAGAAGTCATACAGCGATACTTCAATACCAAAGACTGTATATATATTTTTTGCTACTAACCCGTATTCCTGGAATTACTAACCTGCATTACCAGTTTGTATTATTAGGTTAATACATTATTTTCATATATTCATTTCCTGGCGTTATTTATTGGTACCGGATTTCAACCCGGAATCCACAACAAAATCTTTGTGGCTTTATTGCCTTGCTTGAAGTGAAAGGGAAAAACATAAACAAATGCATTGAAACTGATGTGAAAACTGTTAAGTTTATTGCGTACAATAGAAGGTTCATTTCCCAAATGC